CAGCCTTGAAAATTTGGCAGTACTTTAGCAGCCACGACCTTGAATCTAGCCAACCGAAGCATTCCATCGTCTGCTCCGGGATCAAAATTCAAAACAAAACAAGAGAAGCGGCGTGGTGTACGGATGGTTATGCGCGTATTGCGTTGCCCAAGGCCTTGTAACCGTTGTATTGCCGGATGGTGGCACCGTTGCCCTCACACAGGAATGCGGCCTGGACAAAATATTCAACTTGACCTGTGAAACTGAAATAACTGGTAGACACCATGTGGTAGTTGCAAGGAGGCGGTACTTGCTTTTAAAGTTTAGAGATGAGTTCCAGCTCTGGGATTGAAACCATGTGATGAAAGGATATTATTTTCGAGCTATGTCCTCATGCTTGCGTGGTGTGGTTTCATGAATGTCTTAGATGTGTGTCACCATTCGGTGGTGACAAAGAAATCCCTACCGTGGTGCTGTTCTGTGCTGATCAATTCATGTTCACATATTTAAAACAACTCAAATTATCAGAAGCAGAGCATTAGCATAAAATGAACAGAACATCGGATAGCCATCCTAGCTACAGATATTTTTGTTGTTCTGAATGTCATCAAGGCTATGCATTGCCACATGGATCTGCATAATGTGCAGATTTTCTATATATATCCACCCATGCAAAAAACAGTTGAGTGACATGGCTTGCAAGCACTATTTCTGTACTTATGCTGTGTCAGGAAGCCCATGAGACTTTCTAAATGGCAAGTGGGTACTTGCACCCTTTGCTTGTAAGTTGTTGTGGCCAAGTAAATTGGTGTCTTTTTCGACGGAAGCAAAGGTACGTCATTGATGGTGGGTACGTTGATCTGTGGGCTACGTTTTCATTATCAGTGATCAATGATATTGATTCCAGGTCCATGGCATTAATGTTATGTGCATAGCATCTAAATAAAGCAAGATGTATTCACCCCTCTTTGTCTGGCTGCTGCCATTCACCACACTTCATGCGGGTAAGAATTTTGTCAGTTATTTTTGTGATGCTGTCTTGTGGCAGGCTAAGCCTAACTGGGCAAATATTTATTAAGAATGTTATGCTAAGTGAAAAGCAATGAGTAATTTTACAAAGCTTTTTAGAAGCAATTAGAGGCCCCAAATGTCCCTGGCTACACAGGTACAACAGAATAAAGCAAAAAGTGTAAATAATGTTTAAAATTGTAAGTTTAATTCAAAATATGCTATGTCATTAACTCACTTTCAAGTAGAGCTCAGGCACATTGTTTTGCAAATTATCTACATGTTGAGCTCTGGTTTTTATGTACCTATCACACAACCACAGGAGAGCCTTTAGTTCTAGCCTTAGTTAAGTTATTATGACAAGTACCCTTCCATGCTGTGGAGGCAAGCAGCCCACTTGTGGACCCCTGGTGGCCATCATTTGCAGTAATGTGGCAGGCAGCTGGTGCGTCGGCCGCCGCGGCCGAGCTCAACCTGGGCCGACGGCCGGTGCTGCTGGACAGTGCTGTCTGCGAATGTGACCTGACAGGCGCGCGGTGCGACCCTCACTGCTGCTGTGACCCGGTGAGGCCTCCGCTACGCACCGCCCGGCCCGCCCCGGCCCAGACCTGACCATTTCTCCATCGCCCTCCGCCAGCCAACCCAACCCTTCTGGCTTGGGCTGGCTGGTGGAGGGCAATGGAGAGGGTTTTGGGGTATTTTGGCAGCATGTGCTTTGATACCCTTAGTAAACGGAGTCGTTACCGCACGCTCCATGATAAATTGGGGGCAACACTAGGAACAATAATACCGGAGGATCCACAGGTGAGTGCAATATTATTTAAACTCAATGCTTGGCATTTTTCACTTCATATGATATTCCTGCCCGTTCTCGCGGGGCTTCGCCCAGACATATCAGCCAGTACTACTGAATGCTGCTGAGAATGTAAGGCCGGCGCCTTGTCAACACGTGAGTCTTTTGGCATTGAGGAACGGAACAATCACTTTGCATCGTCATCACATTGTTGCATGACTGAATGCACTGACATTGGTGTCCTCCAACTGAGAGTGCCTGCCTCCGTTACTGGTCACATCCGATGGCGCCGTTCGCCGCAGCTCTGTGTGCTCCGCGTCGTCCGTTTGACGGGCCGCGCATGCCGCCGTAGGACTGCGCCGACACCGCCGCTCCCTGTCCGCGTGCCGACCGGCTGGGACCGCCGGCCGTGCACCGGTGCTCGGCCGCCAACCGACCCTCATGGCACTCCGTGTTCTGCGTGGTGGCCGACAACTCGCCGTTCCTGGGCAGCTTCCACAAGTTGGCGCCGGCCGCCGACCTGTCGCTGTTTCACCGCCTGCCGGGCTGGCGGCTGACTGCCGGCGGCGGCGGCCGGCCGACCGACGCTGCCTACCGGTCGGGCCGACCGCTGCGAGCCGCCGACGGCCGGCCGCTGCTGCTGCCGCGCCCGCTGCTGGACGGCCGCTGCGGCCGCGCCGTCCCCGTCGGCTTCCTGCGCGCCGCCGCCGGCAGCTGCGCCGTGCATGACGTGCGCCGCAGCTGCCGGCCAGAGGCCGGCTCGCCGCTCGATCCGGCCGTGTTCAGCGCGCTTGCTGTGCGTGCCGGCCCGCTGAGTAAGCGCGTGGTGCGCGCAAGCGTGCGGCGCCTCTGCGAGCCTGCTGCAGCGTCGCACGGGGGCAGGAGCGCGGCCGCCCCCTGCGCCGCCGAGCCCCTCCAACTGGACGGCGACACCTGTAAGGGTGCACTCCGGGAGCTGGCGGTGGTGTTCCGCTGGAACGGCTCGGAGGTGGTGGACGCCATGGTGGACGTCATTGTAGCGTCGGTCGGAGCGCGAGACCAGCGCGCCAACCTCACACAGACCATCACGGTTACCTTCCGCCACGTATATGCAGGTGGCAGCACCGGGATGCCGACAGAGGGCAGCCGTGTGGTGCGACGCTCCGGGAATCCGGGCTACGTCCTGGACTCGATCTTAATCGCCTCGACGGAACGGTGGGTACAAAGCCACAATCACCGGGTATATGGGCTTGCTGGATAGTTGTATCTCAGTGAATGTTGGTAGCTCAGGCGTTTGCTCGCCTGACTAGCACCAACAGCTCGTTACGTAAGATGAGGTAAACAGTGTGACCTGTATGTTTTGCAGACGTGATGGGTCATCACTTTGTGCTGCAGCGTTGTGGTCAGCCCACCCCACAACTACTCAGCGGATGACGGGTTCATTCCAGAGTGAACATATCGTCTGCGGGGAGGCGGCCGGTCCCGGTCTCGCCGCTGCTGTCACTCCGTCCAGGTCAGTCCGGGCCTGGCGGCGCCCGCCTTCCTCGTGCCGTCACCTGACGTGTCGGACGGCGCCAAGTTTTAATAGAGCGGGCGGGGGGCTGCACCGCCCCGGCCGGCCGCTCGCTCCCGCGGGAAATCAGGTGGCGCCAGGTGGTGCGGCGGCGCCGGCGGCGCGCAGACCCAGCCTGGGCCAGCGGACGGCGTCGGGCGGACCCCGCACACCGGCCGAGAGAACCCGGGTGCCGGGAACGCACACGGTAAACACGTCCCCTGGGCGGACGGCGCTGTTGCGGCGTCTGGCGAGTCTCCTCCCGCGGGCGTGATGCTGCCGAGGTCAGCCCGGCTGCCAGCGACCCGGGCTGGGACGCCGGGCTGACCCCGGGCACCGGCCCCGCGGGTTAGGCCGGCACAGTCAGCCGCCTGCTTGCCAGCACAAAGTTCGGCCTCGCCGCCCCCCACCCGTCAGCTGTGTGGGCACGTCACGTGACCAGAGCCGCACGGCGCACGCGACAGATTGGCTGGCCCGGCCGGTCGTCAGCGCCGGCGTGCTCGACAGCTGATTGGTTCGTCTCTCCGACACTGCTTTTTGTGCGGGCGGGCGTGAGCGTGTGAACGGGTTGTCTGGCTCGCAGATGGGACGGTGAGCAGCCGGCGCTTGAGACCGGCGCCGCGCCATCAGCCGCCTGTCACTGCCGGTTTCATAGCAGGCGAATCGGGCCGGGCCGGGCTTCGAGCCAGCACCCGAGCGTCCGCTCCCCAGCCCGGCACCGACACGATTCCGCTCCCCGAGGGTTTACTCCCCGAGGATCCGCTCCCCGGGAGTCCACTCCCCAGCCCGGTACCAACACGGGTCCGCTCCCCGAGGGTCCGCTCCCCAGCCCGGCACCGCTACGGGTCCGCTCTCTAAGGATCCGCTCTCCGAGAGTCCACTCCCCAAGGGTCTATTCTCCAAGGATCCGCTCCCCGAGGGTCACCCCCCCCCCGTGGGTCCACTCCCTGAGGGTCCACTCCCCAAGGGTCCACTCCCCAAGGGTCCACTCCCCAAGGGTTCGCTCCCCGAGGGTCCGCTTCTCGAGAGTCCGCTTCCTGAGGGTCCGCTCCCCAAGAGTCCGCTCTCCAGGGGTCCGCTCCCCGGCCCGGCGCCGACACGAGCAGGCTCGGCCGGAGCCGCGGTGGTCGTCGCGACCGGTCGGCGCGGCCATGCGCAGCGCAGCGGCTGTCGGCTGCGAGGCGTTCTGCCAGCCGCCCGTGTGCCGCGGCTCGGGGCTGCCCCATCACAGCACGCCGCACTGGCAGCGGCGGCGCGCTACACGTCCGGGTGTGTGTGGGGTGCCGGCCGTCTCAGCCGGACAGGCCGGTGTCGGATGAGCGAGGCCGCACCTCGTCGGCTGTTCTCCGGTATTGCGGCACCGGGCGATGACCGGCTGCCTCGCTCGGCAATGTGTCTGAACATAACTGGGCAGGCTGCGTTTCGAGGAAGGGAGGGGCGAGTGTTGGTTGGAGTGGACATTATGGAGGTCATTTAGTGATGTACACGAGAAGAATCGCGTGAAAGACCTGCGGCACGAGCTCTCGTCGCATTAAACTGGGAAGGTTTGTCGCAGGTACCCCACTTTGTGCACCCCTTTCTCCGGCGGGCAATAGCGTGGTCGGCCGCGTTGAGCCGGTCATGGCCGATAATCTCCGACCCCGCTCCAGTTGCCGGCCCCTTGTCGGGGTGCGCCGGATGACGGTCGGGTGTAGATCGTACTTTATTCACGACAATTGAGAGGTATATAGCAAGCCGAGGTATGCGCAGCAATGATGCGGTCCTGCCTCGATAGCAGCCCCACTTCTGTAGAAAAATACGCGGATCATCGCCAGGACCGCAACATTGGTCATACCAGATACGGAGAAATGGAACAGCGATAACGATCGACTATATCAAAACGCACGCGGCAACAGTGTCGAAACGGCTGGCGAGCCTTGGGCACCTCTGCGTGGCGGGGTGGCGATCTCGACTGACTTGGGATGAGCCAGGGCCTTGTCTTGCTGGCCGAGAGCTGGCCTGCGTCGTCGCTGCCGCCGCAGGCGGGCCAGGCGCCCCCCGGCCTCAATCGGGGCCCCGGCGCCGTCCTCTGAGTGGAGCGTCGCCACCCGTCCACCTTCCCGAGGGCAGTGGGAGGTGCCCCGGTCGCGTCAAACCGCAGGGAGGGAATAGAGAACACGACACCGATAGCTCGCTAACGGCAACGCTCACGGAGCTAAAACGACGCGCTAACTGGCGCAGGAGACGAAGCAACAGCAGTGACGTAGAGCGGACAACCGAAACAACAGCAAACCTTAGCCTAGCGGCGGCCGGCTGCCACCGGTCGACAGCCGCGCCGGAGACGGAACACACGGAGGCCACCAATGATATGATCTTTGTACCGGCCGAGCGGTAACACCTTGGCAAATCACAACTGATGCCTGCGGCGAGCGAGCGCGCCGCGTCGGCCGCTGGGTGCGGGCGCTGCGGTGGCGGCCTGCCGACGGTGGCCGCGGTTAGTCTCGGCCGGCGCTGCCACTGGGAGCAGCGGCCGGCCGGGCTCGAGCCCCACGCCTGCCCCTCCGGTGGCTCGCCGGGCCGCACCGTCACCGCAGTCTCGCGCAGGCTGTTGAGCTGCTGATGCGCGTGCCGCGAACGGAGGCAGCAAGGCCTGGCGGGCGGGCCGCCGCGATGCGCGCACACGCCCGTCGCCAGCGAGCGCCAAGACGGGCACGTGCGCGGTGGAACATTTGACACAGCTAAGCCACACGACTGGCTTTGAAAACAGCCACCTCCTCCCCTTGCGCCCCTCTTAGTCGCGGCTGCTCGCGTGCGCATGTGTGCGGCACGGGCGTGGGCGTGGCACACTCCCTGCACGCTGCGGCGTTACATGCCGCGCTGGTCTCGTGGTCCGCCCGGCGAGCATGCCACGCATGCGAGGACGGGGTGAAACTCCCCACCTGGCGGACAGGGTGGCTGGGGCCCCTCTTGCCGACGGGCAGGTTTTCCCCGAACCCGGTCGGTGAAACTTCGTAATTTTCCAGGCCTGAACGCGACTGCGCCGCTTACGCCGCTTATTTAGGGGGCCATCGACCGTGTCGGCTTCATGCCCTCGGAGAGATTCTGCCATCACTTCTTACTTCCTAGGTGCACCCAATGTGCTTGAATGGCATAAGTTCAAATAATTACATGTGTAATTATTTTAAGATGCCATCGTTCACGCTTAGTTTTTCTTGTTTCCTTTTTACGTTTCCTCATTGGCCAGCGGTTCGAAGATAAATTTAAGACAAACCTTTTTAGATGCTTGAGCCCTGTTTGGCTGTCGCAGCTCAGCTTGGAGTGCCGGAGAGTTCTACGCACTTTGCGGTAAATGCTCCAAGGTCCCGCAGCTATCCGACGGTAAACTGGCTCGCCGAAGCGATTATCCACTTCTCTTGCTCTCGTTTCTACGTCAAACGGAAACCCCTCCGGCTGCCCTTTTGCTTTGAGTGCCTCTGTAACGCCGCACATGAATCTGGACTAAAAGCCTCCCACGAAGCCTTCGTATTGGGATCGGCTTCCCACGAAGCCGCCATATTTGGATCGACTTCCCACGAAGCCGCCGTATTCGGATCGACCTCCCACGACGCCGCCGTATTCGGATCGGCTTCCCAGGATGCCGCCATATTCGGGTCGCCAGGTCCAAATGGCGACGAAATCCAGCTGGGCGTCGTCTGACGTCTGCGCCCGTCACGCCCGGAAGCCGGCGGACGTGCCGCTGTCCGAGCGTGGGAGGGCGGGGTGGAGCTACTGCGGGCGTCGGGCAGCGGCGCAGGCGGCGGCCAGCAACGCCGGCCAGGCGGCCGCCTCCGCAGCCGACGGCTGCCCGCTGGTCGGGCAGTTGAATTCGGAGGCGGGCAGCTTCTTCACGCTCACAATGTGCTTGCTGTCGAACTTGCGGCAATGCGGCTCGTGGTGTAACGTCTGGAACTCTTCGTCGTCCGAATGCCGGTCGATCCACTCTTTGAACCAGACTAGCTCGCAGTTGCATACCAGCGGGTTCTCTGAAAGCAGCCGCTCGTCAGTGGGACCTCGGTGCCGGCGACTGGCGCGGTCGCGCGGGTGGCAGGCGGTGCCCACGGCGGCGTCTGAAGCACCGCCTCGCAGCGCATGCCGCGATCCGGCACGTTTCGCACCCTGGGACGCCTTTTTTGTGCGCGGACAAAATTGACATCCGGTTTGAGTGTTTGTGACGCGTTGGCATCGAGGATGCGTGCTTCTGGCAAGCTATTTAAGCCGCTTTGAAGTTCGTGAGCCTGCGGGTGGTACGTTGGCGTTGGGGAGAGTGGGGGGAAGGAGGGATGCACACCAGCATCCGTTTGTGGAGAAGGAAACGAGCGACTCTATAACGGACCGGCAACTTTGATAATGACAATATCGCTCAGTGTTACGGGTATTGCGTGCTTCAGAGCTGTATTGCCGAATTGGATGCCAGTCGCTTCTGGAAACGACTTAGTGATACAATGCAACAGCCAGCGTATTTTTCAAGATGGGGAATCTTGACTGCTTCCGGGACCATTGGCCGGTGCAAAGCGCGCTGAAAATAGCTGGCCGGGCGCGGCGTAGCGTGTTTGCCGGCGGTGTTTTGGGCGGTGTCTGGGGGAGGGGGTGCGCGCTGGTGGCGCCGCCTGCCGACCGCACCTGGCCGCGCGCCGATCGATGGCCGCCCGTCTAATGGCGCGGCCGCCCGCCGCCTCAGATGGAGACAAACGGCGCCGGCCCAACACGCGCCCGGCCGACACGCTCTGGCACCGGCCCAGCAGGACGTCGACTCGCCCGGCGCGCGGACACCTGTAGGTGCCGCCGGCCTGGCAGTGCGACCGTCCAGGCGGTGGCGTAATGGACACTCCTCTATCCACCGTGCACCCGTATGAACACATCACATGCCCGCTAATTTTACCTGACAGTCAGATTAATAGGCAAGTCATTGATGAGTACCACAAGTTAGCAGTATGAGGTAGGTTATGGCCCGCACATCCACGTCAGGCGAACGAAAACTGCATTTGTTCCTCCATTTCAGTACTTCGTGCGACGTGTGTCCCGCTACTCACGGTAAAGGTCAATGACTTCGAGTGAGTCCAGCAAGCTCTCCACCGTCTCCAGTGGGATGGTGGTGATTTCGTTATTGCTGAGTTTCAGCCACTCCAGCGAGTGCATCTGCATGAAGGTGCCCGGCGGGATGGTCTTGATGCTGTGGACGGGCAGTCGACATCAGCTGGCGCGAGGGCGGCCGCCACGCGCTGCCCCCGCGAGACGGCGGGCTAGTGCCAGGGTGGGGTCACGCCCTCCTCTAGTCCTGGCGTGATGCAGGCCTGGCAGTTCTGACGTCAGATGTGTGTGCGTGCGTGCGTGCGTGCGTGCGTGCGTGCGTGCGCGTCAGACGTGTGTGTGCAGCTGCGCCTGTCGCGTTATCGACACGCGATTGTCAGTGTCCCGTGTGGTGAAGTCACGGCCGAAGGTAATCGGTGATGGCGAATTGTTATCGGAGCTGACCAGCTAAGGCTGACGTGACGAGGAAGCCGTTAGGCTGCTGTCGTGACCAAATTAAAATGGACAGAACGCCAGACCGCGCACGCCATTATGGCGCACGTGCCGTGGGGCTGTTACGTACAAAACTAGTTCGTTGCTCATTCATTTTCTATGTTCTTGCGGTGAACTTCGATACTGCAGACGGGGATTTCTCCTGGGGATTGGTAGGTTGAGCTGGTCGATGGACTGCAGCATGGTTGAGCGGGCCGTCCCCTGCAGCCCTTCTCTGGCTTGCATGACTGGGAACGGCCGTTTTTGGGGTGCGCCTCAGGTGTGGACCGCCGCGAGCGGGACGCAGTGTGACGCAGTCCCGCGGACCAGCGGAGGGGGGGGGGGGGGCGGGGTGACGCAGTCCCGGGGCGCAGTGTGACGCAGTCCCGCGGACCAGCGGAGGGGGGGGGGGCGGTGTGACGCAGTCCCGGGGCGCAGTGTGACGCAGTCCCGCGGACCAGCGGAGGGGGGGGGGGGGGGGGCGGTGTGACGCGGTCCCGGGGCGCAGTGCGATGCAGTCCCGCAGACCACGGGGGGACGCAGTGCGTGCTGCAGCGAGCTGTCCCAGCCTGGCATCCATTCTGAGATATGAACAACGGCGAACTCACACCCGTCGAGCTACCCTCCTTGACATGTTATGATGCGGTCAGTATTGAAGGGCCACTTAGCTAGCCACCGTTCTCAGTGTGGACTGCGCCCCAGTGCTGCGCCGCGGCTGCTTCAAGTCCGCGTATCCCACGGCCGGTCCTAGAGCCGACGCCGTCCGCTAGCCTACATGGGCGTCGGTGGGCTGGGTGACCCCCGTCTCGCCTGGGAGTCTGGTATATGCGGGCGTGTGAAGTGGGCTGGGTGGGCGAATGAATGAGGCTGTCGGACGGCCAGCTGGCCGGCCCGCTTCTCCCACGCCCTCAGTTCACCAGCCCGCCGGACGGCCGGGGCAGCCGGCGACTGACGCGGAGCAGAGCTGAGGGCAGCGACGCCTCCGCGCTGTTCTCGGCAAGTTTACCCCATTGGCGTAGGTGGCACTTCTACGTACTGGCGCCGCAAAGGTGCCGTTCAGGCCCGCGTAATTCACTCGATATCTCCCTAAATCCATGGATGTGACCAAGGCGAACGGCGGGCAAGCTGCGCCGGACGCGCCCCGCTGCTGGATGTGTTGTCTGAGAACTCTACACCACTTAAGTGGGCACTTCTCGAAGCGGAGAATGTCATGAACTGCGTGCAGTTCACCCTTCAGACTGTGGCGCTGACGGTGAGGTGAGCGGTGCGGCGCTGACGGTGAGGTGAGTGGTGCAGCGCTGACGGTGAGGTGAGTGGTGCGGCGGTGACGGTGAGGTGAGCGGTGTGGCGCTGACGCTGAGGTGAGCGATGCGACGCTGACGGTGAGGTGAGCGGTGTGGCGCTGACGGTGAGGTGAGCGGTGCGGCGCTGACGGTGAGGTGAGCGGTGCGGTCCTGTCGCCGCCAGCTCGCGTCTTCAGAGCAGCTGTCCGGGGTCTGAGGTCCGGGGCCCGGGGTCCGAGGTCCGGGGTTCTTTGCTGTCTGTCTGAATGGATGTGTGGGTAGCCTTCGTATTGTTGAGCCGGCCGGCTTGACGTGCACCGAGCGTGCCGTCCTAAATACGAGAGGGGTATGGGGGTGGGGGGTTGGGGCACGCGTCACATTTCTATCGAGTTGGCGGGGGGGGGGGGGGTACTTACTGGTTTTTCTGCAGGCACAAGAACTTAAGCGACTGCCCAAAGCCCTCGAATGCGTCCTCCGGAATGATGGAGATGTTGTTGTGCTTGAGGTCGAGCTGCTTGAGCCGGTGAAGACCGCGGAGCGCCTGCGTGGGGATGCCGAAGATCTTGTTGTCCCCCAGTGACAGCCATTCCAGAGTCTCTGCGGACAGACATTCGGCCAACTATCTAACAGCTTCCCGTTCAACCCAATCAGGGACCGTCTGGCGAGCCACAGGGTAGGATATTCGAGGAGCGACCGATGACGCGATCGTAAATCTCGCACGTGGTTCCGTGCGCGTGACGACCGGCCTCTGACGTCACGGCCCACGTGGCCATCACCGGGGGTGAAGGGGGGAGGGGCGGCAGCCAGACCGATTTGGCCATCGCCCAGCCCATTTGCCACGCTGCCACTCGGATGTGCGTCGGCCGCTCTTCCGCTGCCTTCCGACGGGCCTGGCGCCGTCATTAATTTCCGGTGAATGGGTGGGTTGGGGGAGAACACGGGAGTGGGTGTGTGGTGCGCATGTTGGGGTGTGCTGCCTGATGGTGGGCTTGTGCTGGTGGGCGGCGCCGGCGGACCTCCTCCACAGCCGGCGCTGTCCGCCTGTCGACCATCTCGGGTTGGGTAGGACTGGGGGCAGGCATTGGTAAATGCCAATATCGAGGATTGAGGTGATGGCGTACATCATCGCGGGCGCTCGAAGAATAGATGAGCCGTGGCTGCCGGGATCGGATGTTATGTTTGATGATATGATGATGGATGTTTGTTACACCGGGGAAGGCTGACGCGTCAGCCCCGCACTGCCACACTGGCAGGCGCGGCCGTGACCACTACAGCACGGGGAAGGCTGACGCATCAGCCCCGCACTGCCATACTGGCAGGCGCGGCCGTGGCCACTACAGCACGGGGAAGGCTGACGCATCAGCCCCGCACTGCCGCACTGGCAGGCGCGACCGTGGCCACTACAGCACGGGGAAGGCTGACGCATCAGCGCCGCACTGCCATAGATGGGCCGTGGCTGCCGGGGTCGGATGTGTTTGTTACACCGGGGAAGGCTGACGCGTTAGCCCCGCACTGCCGCACTGGCAGGCGCGGCCGTGGCCACTACAGCAGAGGGAAGGCTGACGCATTAGCCCCGCACTGCCACACTGGCAGGCGCGGCCGTGGCCACTACAGCAGTGCGGGCGGCCGCTTGGAAGGCTCTTGTAATGAGCACTCGTTCACCGAGCTCCGGGCCATGCTGGCATAGTCCCGAACCATAAATTCTGCTGGTGTCAGAGTCCCTGGGTTCGATTTGCCGACAAAGTGTTCACTATTTTACGGCGCGGACGGGCCCCCGTTGGTCACAGGCAGCATTGTCGTGGTGCTACTTCTCTCAAGATAGGACACGCCATTGGCAGTCCGCTGAGCAGAAACCTTGCAAATTTTGCGGATGCAGATGGGCACATTTATTCAAATTAATGCTCTTGTTTCCAGGTGTTCGCAGTGTTGACCTTCCCACCCGTAACTTCAGCCTAAATATAACTTGTTGCTCTTACCCCGAGCTTGTCTTAGAATGGTTTCCGGTGCCGACCATAAATTTCGCCGGAGACCCTGAGGCTGATACAAAGCTATTGGTCGTGGGCAGAGGCGTACACAGGGGGAGACAAGCGGGCGGGTGCCCCCCCCCCCTCCCCCCTCCATTACAAAATACACGACTCCTGGGCACTCGGCACAAACAGGAATTGAGCGCGCGCGAAAGGCGGGGGCTCACTACACGTCACCAAAGGGTGTCGTCAGGAGGCCTCAGAAAATGAGACATGTGTTAGAGTTGTAAGTTGGGCTTTTAAGGTCTCGCCTCGGGATTTTGAAATTCCTCTGTGTGCACCTGACCGTGATAAACGTCTCCCATCCTCACCGAATCGACTCGAATCCCGCAGGGCCACGTCCCCCATTGGCAGAATATCTACCTGAGTAAACCTATGCCGTTGCAAGTACCTACGTCATACACAAGTGGCCGTCCTCCAAGCCGTAGGAACTGTTGTGACGCAGCTGAACGGTCTCTGATGTCATAGGCTGCAACTTGTGGGCAGCTGTTGATAATGGTAAACGCGGTTCAAGCAGAGCTCAAACGCACATGATGCTGCATACTGCGCTGACTCACTCACTGCGATAAAACACCTCGGGTCAACTGACGGTGACCTCTGTGAAGACCATCGTGGCCAGTTTGACAGGGTACGAAGGGTACGTTGTACATACGTACGGGGTGTGTGACCAGTTTTCTTTGACAGGGCACGGAACATGGGAAACAAATGATGTCATAAAGGAGATGAGATTCGCACAAATAATGAGCTACGCTTCATTTACAAAATACAATCCCTGCCTGCAATCTTTGCACCATCCAGGATGCTTCTGCAGAGCGGCGTCATTCAGCGGCGCGTGCCGAGTCACCCCTCGTACCGCCCGGCACGTCGTGCAGCGGGGGGGGGGGAAGGTATTTGAGGGTCACGCAGTCGTCACGGCAACACATTGCGTCACCTTGTCCCAGATCACGACGTCACATGGTCTGTCATATGTCACATGGTCTGTCACATGGTCTGTCTCATGTCACACGGTCTGTCACATGGTCTGTCGCATGGCCACGACGGTCGTCTGCCATCCTGCAGCCGACTGGCGCCGGGGGCGGCAGGCGGGCCGCCGGAGTCACTCACGCTCGAGTCCCTGGAAGGCGAGCTTGTCGATGTAGGCCACCTGATTGTGCTCGATGTTGAGCTTAGTCAGCTGGCTGAGCTCGGTGAAGGCGCGCGCTGGTAGTGCCTTGATCCGGTTGTTTTCCAGCAGCAGGCTGTCCAACTTGCTCAGTCCTGCCGACAGCGTCGATGCGCTCAGGTAGAGTTTGGTGTCTCTTTGGAACGGCTTCGGGTCCCCAATGTTTGTCTCTCTCACGGAACATTGTTGGGCTCGAACCATCTCACAAGGCTCTAGAAAGAATAAGGTAGAACGCTCCGGTCTCCGTAAATGTAGAGCCTATGGCTTTGGGATAAGCCGCGAATTCGGACACTGCACTCATCCTTTGATTGGTGGGGGGATTTCATGTCACGGAATTAAATCCCGATTGCCATGGCAATGAATCCCAGAGTCCGCACTGTGGTTGTGTGTTCAGGGGCTGGCTCTGGTCCGTGTGGCGCCATGTTCTAGGATCCTGAGGTGGAGAAGAGATAATTGTAAGCGTTTATATACCTATAACTTATGACGCTATTTTGGCAAGCACCCGTAATACGCGGATGCGGGTAGTGTAGTGGTTAGCGCGTCTGCGTTGGCTACTGCGCGTCTGGGAAACCAGAGGTACGGGGTTCGATTCCCCGCGATGCCCGCCCTTCCTGCCAGGGTGAGAGGCAGGCGACGCCATATAGCCTCAGCAGCTGAGTGCGTCGTCAAGCCTCAATCACACACACACACACACACACACACACCCGTAATACGCGTAAATGTCGTTAAGGACGGATGGTTTTCATGTAATGGGTTCATCATTTTTTGACAACTTATCTGACGTGGTAAGACAAATCGCCGTGGTGTCAGCAGGATCTGCACGTGATACAAGGAGCATGGCGTAGAGTGGTCAGGAAACCGGATGGACAGGAAAATGGGTCATGTACTTCCAATATCGGTTAACCTGTGCTGATATATGCTGTAATGAAGCACCAGGACGAATTAAGATGGTCATTTGCAATATCGATGCCAAGTGCGTGGGTCTGGTGCGGGAGTGTAGGTGTGTAACTGCATAATATGCAGGCATGCCAGTGCTATCTAAGCTCATACACGTGTTCACGAAGTTGCTGGTGCACGCAAAACGCGATAAACTGTAATTGTTGCATTTACCATGCAATGCTCTCTTGAAATTAAACTAAGCTCAGAACATTCGGTGTCTGAAAAAAATGATTCACGTGTTGGCCGAATACAGCACGGTTTTCTTGTCCCTTACGGTATCCATGTTATGCTAGCGATGTGGCAATTTAACTGTTCAAATTTTGAAGTGTTGTGGCTGATGCCAGACTATTCCTAGAACAAGACCACCAAATACTGCCTTACTTTTACGATATTTGCATGGTATTACAGCACTGGACACTTTATAAAAGTGGTAATTTTTGAAATAGTACTGGTGCATTGTTCTGATTGGTATATTTTTCTTTGGGATTAGAACCCACAAGCGAGGAATAGTGAATCTGATGTCGGCTAAAAATAAGTCTGCTTGACATGCTGATGAACATGATGGCACATGATGAATATAAAATATCACGTTTGGCATTGCCACTGAATTTGTATTCGTGTCTGTCCTCAGAAATATGTTACCAAGACATGTGCCTGGTTTTCAATGTTGGTTTCTGGTACCCACTTCCCCTCATCAAAACGAGGCCTTAGATCCTTCGTTTGGCCTGGTTCTTTCATCACGACTAATCCCTGGTTCGCGGACCACATAGGTCATTTTGCAAACACTAGGCCTTGACTCCCGGTTCTCACTGAATGTTTCTAAGGGTGCCGGTAGTGTAGTGGTTAACGCGTACGCGTTCGCGTTAACCACTGCGCGTCTGGGAAACCAGAGGTACGAGGTTCGATTCCCCGCAGTGCCCGCCTTTCCTACCAGGGTGGGAACCAGGCGATGCCTTAAGCCTCAGCAGCTGGGTGCGTCGTAAAGCCCCAATGACATGGTTGTTTCCAAACTCAACATACGATTATAAGTTCAAATTAGTTAGTCACAAACACCACACCCTCGCTTACAGGTTCCATTAATTCACTCAAAAACCTTTTTATTCCGACTTCTGTTCGTCACTGGCTCATTCGTCAACACCAGATCGGACTGCTATTCGACAAAATTCTGCCATTGAAATGATGTCTGAGGTAAAAAATATCTTGTCTATGTGCTTTAATGATTGCATGTGCACACTGCGTGACGTAAGCTCAGGTGAATACGTAGTAGTTTCTAACAACGCTTCCATGTGAAATCATGATTCTTATTAGTGCCTTCGACTTTATACTGCACCGTGAAAACAAAATGAACACTTCTAATAACAAGTAAACGACATGGAGAGTGACAGCTGGGTTTCATTGATCCTTGCCAGTGTAAAGTCTGAGGTAATCCGAAATTCCACCTTTGAAATCATCCAGATATCTCTTGCAGCGCCAGAATGTCGCGCATTACCAACCGAAGCAAAAACAGCGTTCAGTGTGAGCTTTTTCCAGGGCCCCTCAAAATTTATCTGGCAACCCCGCTGTGACGTCACGGTGGGGCGCCTGGACAGGCCACAGCATTGTAAGCCCTCAGGAAAGGGGTTTTCAGAGGCAGCTTTTGGGTAGATTGAGAATGTACGGACTGCTGAAACGCCTTCAGCGTCAGAAAAAAACGTATGGTCTGTCGTACGCCAGGTGTGCTTTTGAAGTCCAGTGCCTTGGCTTTGAATTGCAAGTAATTTTGCGCAGACGTTGCACCGTTGACCTAGGTGGTGCCACTGGTACCAACGCCTGGCTTATAGATGATGCTAGTGTGCTTCGTGGACCTATGACACTCATTCAGTTTCCACAGATACGTCGTGCTTCTCGAAGCGTTCTGCGTGTTGGAATGCAAACTGTGCTTGCTGGGTTCGAAATATCTTAACATCTTGCATGCAAATGTCTTTCCCTGATTTTTTTCGTTCATCAAGGCATATTCTTAGCTCAATTGCCTGCCATTCTAATAAAACCGCTACATGATGTTGGGTTACGGTATTGGTAACCTTCATGTGTGAGTCTACTAAGTTTGATCTTGAATTGAAAATAAGACAATCGTCTTGTCATAATTGAGGCTTTAACCCTCTTGAACTGGCTAAATATTGAACGTGTGACGACGACATGCGACATTTCGAACTCACCATCAACATTAGGTGAGCAGGTTGGTGTTAGGTGTCAGGTTGGTCAACAGCTCGTCCGGAAAACTGACAAGTCTGCCCAAGTATGAGGTGCGGGCCATATGAAAAAAATTACAATTCCATGCGAACTAATAATTTTGGTGCATGCGTTGCAATGTACCGGAAGCAAAGCACATGCAAAATAAAACTAGAGCACGGATATACAATGCGATACCAGATAACGATATATTTACAAAGTGCCGTAGGTGGAAGAAGCAGCAAAAACACCAAAAGTGTAGTAGCAGTGGACAGGCAAGGCGTCATACTATCCGCGTCAAGACACACCGGGATGCGCCGGGGCCTTTGCGTCCAGGCCAACTGATAAAAGCAGGATGTAGTCGGGAAGACCTCACCCGCCTTCTACGCGTCAGGACCACACGTCCCAAAAACGCACTCACCAGCCCCAGGAAGCGTGACAGGAGGGGAACATGATCGGCCCGCGCCCCCTCCATCCAACCAGCGGAACAGTGGGGGGGGGGGGGGAGGGGGGGTTAGTTCGGTGGGCCAAAAACTGCTACTGCTGGTCAAATGGCCACACATTACTTAATCAGTGTTGGTGATTCCTTTAAGGCACTCTAAGCTGCACTTAACTAAATTTTAGAACCCACTGTAGCATCTTCTCAAATGAAATTCATTGTTTCAGATGGTGGTCCAATGTCGTTTCTTGCGATACACTTTAAACGAATGTGCTAGCCTGCACTCAAATAGGCCTATAATCAGTCACACAACCGGGGAAATTTGCGCAGGGTTTTTGATGATAGTATGAGTATCCATGATTACGTTTCGGTAGCATTTTACCTAGATTTGCCCCATAAGAAACATGACCTGGCAGCGCGCCGATATAGAACGTGGTGCACTAACGTGTGCACACACAGTGCTGCGCACGATGTGTGTGGATCAGCCGGTGGTAGCGTGCAGCACGGTGTGTGTGTGGATTAGCCGGCAGTAATGTGCAGCACGGTGTGTGTGGATCAGCCGGCGGTAATGTGCAGCACGGTGTATGTGGATCACCCGGTGGTAGTGTGCAGCACGGTGTGTGTGTGGATTAGCCGGCGGTAATGTGCAGCACGGTGTGTGTGGATCAGCCGGTGGTAGTGTGCAGCACGGTGTGTGTGGATCAGGCAGTGGTAGTGTGCAGCACGATGTGTGTGGATCAGCCGGCAGTAGTGTGCAGCACAGGTGTGTGTGGATCAGCCGGTGGTAGTGTGCAGCACGGTGTGAGTGGATCAGCCAGTGGTCGTGTGCAGCACGGTGTGTGTGGATTAGCCGGCAGTAATGTGCAGCACGGTGTATGTGGATCAGGCAGTGGTAGTGTGCAGCACGGTGTGTGTGGATTAGCCGGCAGTAATGTGCAGCACGGTGTATGTGGATCAGCCGGTGGTAGTGTGCAGCACGGTGTGTGTGTGGATTAGCCGGCAGTAATGTGCAGCACGGTGTGTGTGTGGATCAGCCGGTGGTAGTGTGCAGCACGGTGTGTGTGGATCAGGCAGTGGTAGTGTGAAGCACGGTGTGTGTGGATCGGCCGGCGGTAATGTGCAGCACGGTGTGTGTGGATCAGGCAGTGGTAGTGTGCAGCACGGTGTGTGTGGATCAGCCGGCGGTAATGCGCAGCACAGTGTGTGTGGATCAGGCAGTGGTAGTGTGAAGCACGGTGTGTGTGGATCAGCCGGCGGTAATGTGCAGCACGGTGTGTGTGGATCAGCCGGCGGTAGTGTGCAGCACGGTGTGTGAATCAGCCAGCGGTTGTCTCCAGGACGGCCAGTGACGGGGACTGGTGACATGTGGATTTTCGTCTAAAAGCAGTTGCAAACAAGGGGCATCAGTAAGACAGGGCCAGGCGTCCTGTAAATCTACCCATGCGTTGTTGGCGATATACGTGGCTGTAGGAGCTAGAGCGGAGCATGACATGTGTGTTCAGGAATCCTAGAACCAAGCAACAGCGCTTTTGGCTGGAGGAGCCAGAGCAGAGGATGACATGTGGTGTGTTCAGAAATCCCACAACCAAACAACAACCCTTTTCGAATCAAGCCAATATAAAATTACTGAGCCACCTTATCAACCGAGGTTACCCTGGTACCTGTCACTGGAACAGCGGCTCTCAACTAAAGAAAGGCAAGAGGTCACAAATAAGGCAGGTGTACGCAGATGTCTGATGACATTGGGGGACGAAAACAACGATGCGTCTTGTAGCAAAGGATGACCATGCTTGCTTCGGGGCGAAGGAATCGGATAACTGACAAGCAAAGATCACAATGACATGTTTTTTTGCTTGGGCACATTCACATTCAATCACAGTGTTATATTTCTACCACTGTCCGGCGGACATCTGCTCCATCCCCAGTGGGCTACTACCCGGCGGAACCCGCTCCATCCCCGGCGGGCTGCTACCCGGCGGACATCTGCTCCATCCCCAGTGGGCTACTACCCGGCGGAACCCGCTCCATCCCCGGCGGGCTGCTACCCGGCGAAATCGCTGACTCAGCACTTTGCCCAGCAAAAATGTGGAGATCGTGATTAGCGCGTAGCGTCAGAAAGCTGAAGATCGACCGTCAGCTTGCAGCTATTGATCGGCGGCGATTCATGTGTTAGTAGTTGCCTTTGGCCGTGGCTAGTATAGCGGCGCGGACTGCCGCGACCCGGGTCGACCGTCGGGCCGGAGCGGGCCGGCGAGGCGGTCCCTGTCGGCCCGGCCAGACACGGCGAGCCCCCGCGGTAGCCGGTCCGACCCGGGTCGACCGTCGGGCCGGAGCGGGCCGGCGAGGCGGTCCCTGTCGGCCCGGCCAGACACGGCGAGCCCCCGCGGCAGCCGGTCCCATCCGGGGTCGTCCGTCGGGCGGACCGGACGCGTGTCCGGCCGCCAGACATCAACGCCAGACATGTACGCGCCGCTGGTGAGCTGCGCTGCTCATCCACGGCGCCGGCACGCTCATGTGATGGCACTCTGATGTGATGTCTGGGACTCGTATTTTTGCAATGTCGCGGACGAAGTGCGCTGAGCATACCGAGCATTTTCATAATTTTATACAATACGGGCATCAGAATACTTGGAGGCCCGCAGTCTAGCGGCACTAGTGCAGAATTCATGGGTCACCGCTGATGCCAGCGACCTTATGCTTTTAATTTACTGCTGCAGGCTCCCTTGGAAACTGGATTGGTGGGATAGCTCCAGCTGGCCTACCCAAAAGTTCTTCTTGGAACGATCCCCGGGGTACCCCCAAAATGCTGGGTTTTGCTGCTGTGCGAGCGCCTAGTTATGGGCCAATTTGCAGGTCATTGCTCACAATTACTCTGCCACACATGCTTTTGTGTGACTCAGTAGCTGGGCTGTCGAGTGATCAGACCGCTTTAGTCATTGCCACTTTCTGCCCTCGGTAAGGTGGTGTCTCGTTGCCGATATTGTGTTGCCACAAGTCACCGGCTAGCTGGCAGTGGTCTGTACTGTGATTGGACGTGTCGCCAGATGGAGTGTGCATCAGCGAAAGCAGAACGGCCGCGCAATGTGTAGACGGTTCGATGGCTGAGGCGGCCGCCAG